GAAATTCAGTTTAAACATGCTAGATGTTCGAGCAAATGTCTGATTAAACAAAAAGGGTCGGTTGGACGGTCAGTCGGCCAATCAGCCACTCTGCCTAACTGTGAATGTTCAAAATGGTGTTTGAGCAAATGTTAAAAGTGATTTTTGTTGCATTAAAAAACACACACACACACACACACACACACACAAAGCCCACCATACATTCACACACATCACACACCCATTTTAATGGTTAAGTTTGAATTTTTTAGTGCACTCCAACTGTTTGTTTTTTTTGCTCATTAGCACACTGGCAGTCTATCCCTTCTTTCTATAATACATTTGTCCATATTTTCTGGTGGTGCTAAAAAACTTACAATCCGACAAATGATGGTGCAATCGACGACTCACTCAGATGTTTTTATAATGGGTGTTTAAATTGGACCTTTTTAATTTGTGTTTATATTCATTGTTTGACTATCTTGTATATAAGAACTATGTACATTGCCTTTAGACACGTGATATAGGGCAAGTTTAGACTTTCAGTTTAAGTTGTGTCCGAAATCAATGCTTGATTATTTTTCTTTCAAATTCAATGTTCAATTTTTTTAGTTATACNTAATTAGCCAATAGTTTTGTTTATTTAGGGGTTTTTGTGTTAATCACTAATTTGTGGTCGTGGAAAGTGTTTTTCTCTTGATTGGTGGCGCTCCATGTGCATAACTTAAAAACAGTAGGTTTTTGTTTGTTATACTGTGGGTATGGATTTTTTACCATCTTAGGCTCATGCCGTGGTAGGTTTTGTTTGATACTTTTTATTTAAACATTTGGATTGTAACGTTGCTGCTGTCCATTATGGGAGTTTCTATTTTTTCCAAGAGTATTATATATTTAATGCATCATAAATTCAAGATTGGTACTGACAAAATGTTCGAATGAATTTGAGCCAAAGTTTAAACATGTTTGAATGAATTAAGTTGAAATTCAGTTTAAACATGCTAGATGTTCGAGCAAATGTCTGATTAAACAAAAAGGGTCGGTTGAACAGTCAGTCGGCCAATCAGCCACTCTGCTTAACTGTGAATGTTCAAAATGGTGTTTGAGCAAATGTTAAAAGTGATTTTTGTTGCATTAAAAAAAAAAAACACACACACACACACACACAAAGCCCACCATACATTCACACACCCATTTTAATGGTTAAGTTTGAATTTTTTAGTGCACTCCAACTGTTTGTTTTTTTTGCTCATTATAGCACACTGGCAGTCTATCCCTTCTTTCTATAATACATTTGTCCACATTTTCTGGTGGTGCTAAAAAACTTACAATCCGACAAATGATGGTGCAATCGGCGACTCACTCAGATGTCTTTATAATGGGTGTTTAAATTGGACCTTTTTAATTTGTGTTTATATTCATTGTTTGACTATCTTGTATATAAGAACTATGTACAGTGCCTTCAGACACGTGATATAGGACAAGTTTAGACTTTCAGTTTAAGTTGTGTCCGAAATCAATGCTTGGTTATTTTTCTTTCAAATTCAATGTTCAATTTTTTTAGTTATACCGTGCCTTCAGGCACGAGTTATCTCTAATATATATATATTGTGTGTGTGTATATATATTGTGTGTGGACGTGGTGGGCTTGTTAGTGCTGACAAATATTAGTGACTGATTAGTTTCTTCATCCATGAAATGTCATGATTTTGTTGCACATTTTTCATTGTCTTCTTATGAACTAGATGCTCATCCAATTCTTAAGAGCTCAGAAACTTGTATAATCTTTGTCCCCTTTCGATCAGTACGAGTTTGTGGGTGCCCCATAGCTCTAAAAACCTTAGTCACATGCATCGCCATGTCCCCAATGTAAAGGACCCCGTATGTTGTCTTGTTTACCTACAATATTCTATTCAGCTCCGAAGTTATCACATCGANGTTTAAACATGCTAGATGTTCGAGCAAATGTCTGATTAAACAAAAAGGGTCGGTTGAACAGTCAGTCGGCCAATCAGCCACTCTGCTTAACTGTGAATGTTCAAAATGGTGTTTGAGCAAATGTTAAAAGTGATTTTTGTTGCATTAAAAAAAAAAAACACACACACACACACACACAAAGCCCACCATACATTCACACACCCATTTTAATGGTTAAGTTTGAATTTTTTAGTGCACTCCAACTGTTTGTTTTTTTTGCTCATTATAGCACACTGGCAGTCTATCCCTTCTTTCTATAATACATTTGTCCACATTTTCTGGTGGTGCTAAAAAACTTACAATCCGACAAATGATGGTGCAATCGGCGACTCACTCAGATGTCTTTATAATGGGTGTTTAAATTGGACCTTTTTAATTTGTGTTTATATTCATTGTTTGACTATCTTGTATATAAGAACTATGTACAGTGCCTTCAGACACGTGATATAGGACAAGTTTAGACTTTCAGTTTAAGTTGTGTCCGAAATCAATGCTTGGTTATTTTTCTTTCAAATTCAATGTTCAATTTTTTTAGTTATACCGTGCCTTCAGGCACGAGTTATCTCTAATATATATATATTGTGTGTGTGTGTATATATTGTGTGTGGACGTGGTGGGCTTGTTAGTGCTGACAAATATTAGTGACTGATCAGTTTCTTCATCCATGAAATGTCATGATTTTGTTGCACATTTTTCATTGTCTTCTTATGAACTAGATGCTCATCCAATTCTTAAGAGCTCAGAAACTTGTATAATCTTTGTCCCCTTTCGATCAGTACGAGTTTGTGGGTGCCCCATAGCTCTAAAAACCTTAGTCACATGCATCGCCATGTACCCAATGTAAAGGACCCCGTATGTTGTCTTGTTTACCTACAATATTCTATTCAGCTCCGAAGTTATCACATCAAACAGAACCTTTTCACAAGTATGGCTAATCAGGGTGCGAACAAAAAGGGACCAATGTCACCCTTCTCACACCTAAATTATGGGTGGTAATTTTTGAGACAATTTGAAACATGACTTGAAATCAATACGAAATTAAAAGGGTTAGAGTTAACTATTTTTTGATATGAACCCGTATATGATACGACCTGTTAATACAAATAACAAATAGATTAAGTTAGTATCAAACACGAATAATACGAAATTGACACGATTATAAAAATAAAATATTATATTTTTTTAAGTAGTGACCTAATTTTTGTACAAAAAAAATATATCCTTACTAGTTTTTATTATTATATTTATTAAGTNAATGGTGTTTGAGCAAATGTTAAAAGTGATTTTTGTTGCATTAAAAAAAAAAAACACACACACACACACACACAAAGCCCACCATACATTCACACACCCATTTTAATGGTTAAGTTTGAATTTTTTAGTGCACTCCAACTGTTTGTTTTTTTTGCTCATTATAGCACACTGGCAGTCTATCCCTTCTTTCTATAATACATTTGTCCACATTTTCTGGTGGTGCTAAAAAACTTACAATCCGACAAATGATGGTGCAATCGGCGACTCACTCAGATGTCTNTTTTTTATTCATGGGATGTATGAGTCAACACAAACATGACATGAAAATGAATTTGTCGATACGACATACAATAAGTTAAACGAGTTTAATTAAGATTGATAAATACTCGACATGAACCCAAAATGACACGACACAAATACGATCAGACACCACACAATTATTAGTCCTACCCTGAATTATCCAATGAATGTCGNTCGGCGACTCACTCAGATGTCTTTATAATGGGTGTTTAAATTGGACCTTTTTAATTTGTGTTTATATTCATTGTTTGACTATCTTGTATATAAGAACTATGTACAGTGCCTTCAGACACGTGATATAGGACAAGTTTAGACTTTCAGTTTAAGTTGTGTCCGAAATCAATGCTTGGTTATTTTTCTTTCAAATTCAATGTTCAATTTTTTTAGTTATACCGTGCCTTCAGGCACGAGTTATCTCTAATATATATATATTGTGTGTGTGTATATATATTGTGTGTGGACGTGGTGGGCTTGTTAGTGCTGACAAATATTAGTGACTGATCAGTTTCTTCATCCATGAAATGTCATGATTTTGTTGCACATTTTTCATTGTCTTCTTATGAACTAGATGCTCATCCAATTCTTAAGAGCTCAGAAACTTGTATAATCTTTGTCCCCTTTCGATCAGTACGAGTTTGTGGGTGCCCCATAGCTCTAAAAACCTTAGTCACATGCATCGCCATGTACCCAATGTAAAGGACCCCGTATGTTGTCTTGTTTACCTACAATATTCTATTCAGCTCCGAAGTTATCACATCGAACAGAACCTTTTCACAAGTATGGCTAATCAGGGTGCGAACAAAAAGGGACCAATGTCACCCTTCTCACACCTAAATTATGGGTGGTAATTTTTGAGACAATTTGAAACATGACTTGAAATCGATACGAAATTAAAAGGGTTAGAATTAATTATTTTTTGATATGAACCCGTATATGATACGACCTGTTAATACAAATAACAAATAGATTAAGTTAGTATCAAACAAGAATAATACGAAATTGACACGATTATAAAAATAAAATATTATATTTTTTTTAAGTAGTGACCTAATTTTTGTACAAAAAAAATATATCTTTACTAGTTTTTATTATTACATTTATTAAGTTAATTTTTAATTTATAGAAAAATATGAGTATAAGTTCGATTAAGTGATAATAAAATTTTAGACATAAAACTGAGCGTTAAGTTTTTTATTCATGGGATGTATGAGTCAACACAAACATGACATGAAAATGAATTTGTGGATACGACATACAATAAGTTAAACGAGTTTAATTAAGATTGATAAATACTCGACATGAACCCAAAATGACACGACATAAATACGATCAGACACCACACAATTATTAGTCCTACCCTGAATTATCCAATGAATGTCGTTTATAGGTCCCCACCTTTTCTGTTTTTTTTAAAGTTTTTGATGGCAGAAACATTTGGGAGGTGCGTTATATATATAGGACTCATTCTTAGGTAACAAATACTTAACCCACAAGTTTAAGTTAAACTTTGGAAATTTTCAGTAAAAATCGAATTTAAATAGTCTGAATTTGCGGCTTGCTCATTTACCCTTCGTACATTTGGGGATGGACTATAAGACAGAGAACACGAATTCACACCTTCAGTCTCCCAATTCAATGGCTTCTGGCCCAGCAGTACTGTCATCTTCCTTGGCTCCCGGTTTTTCTGAGAAAGATGAGTTGCTGTTCTCCAATGGCCGTAATTATGCGCTGCTCGGCGAAATTACAATGCTCGTTCTTCTCTTGCTCTTCACCTTCTTTATCATCTCCATCGTCTGTTTTTTACGCATAAAGCTCTCTCCTGATGCTTCCAAACTCAGTCCCCTGGATCAAAATATGTCAAAAGACAGCCTTTTCCATGTTTAAAGGCCAAACTATTATTGGATCGCATGATTCGTGTCGTCGGTGAATTAATCAGCCGTTTGTTACCAATGATGCTTTGGGTCCTGTCTATGTCCAACCAATCTCTACTTGCAGGTCAGAGAACAGATTAGGCACAATTCTTGGCATATATATACATATGTTCTATGGCGAAAGGCTTTAATGTGGTGAGCTTAAGAGTGTCGTACTGTTCTTCATGTGTGTGTAATTCAGTGGCTAATATGATAAGCATATCATGATATATATATATATATATATATAATGTGTTTATGTAGTATGCTTGTGGTTGGTTTTCGATGCGAACATTACATCCAACTGTTATATGAGCCGATAGTTTCTTCTATTTTAAGTTTTTTTTAGTTGTTTTTGGATCTCCTTCTGATTATAGCATTCTGAAAATAGAATTATACTTTAGTCTTCAAGGTCCCTTTTAGATTGGCAACCGATTTTTTTTTTTTTTTTATAAAAAAATTGGCGCAATTATAATTTTTTTGCAAGTTTTTTTTTTGATAAAAAAAGTAATCAGTGATTTCATTCAAGTAGGAAAGTGTTGATTACGGTCATTAAAAAAAAAAGCCTTAAGCTCGATAGAGGGACAGCTGGCCCAATTCACAGTAAGCGAACCAGACAACGCTGCTGCTGCCACCCAATAGCTGCCTTATTAAGAGTTTTTGGCTTGTGTAAAAAACTAAGTTCAAGATGTTTAGCAAAAAATCTAATGTCCTCCACTCGGGCACTAATTTCCGAAGGGGGAACACATTCAGTAGAGCAAAGCTGGATAACTTCTTGACAGTCACTCTCAGTTCTGACATTTGTTAACTGTGAGGCATTCACCAGCAGGCAGGCTTCTCTCACTGCCGCTGCTTCTGCTTGGAGACTTGAAAGTAGCCGGAATATCTTTCCTGATCCCATTCAAAAAACTGTCATTAGTGTCTCTTAAAAAAATTCCAATAGCAGCCCTTCCCTTTTTAAAAGTCCCATCACAACTGACTTTGAACCCTGGGCACCTATGGTTTGCAGGGAACTCATGCTGAGTTGGGGCAGATGAGTTAATCTTTTCTCCTCTTTTTCCAGCTAAAAGAACCTCACTCCATAGATGCCTTGCTTTTAACAGTGTTGCTAACGCATTTGGCTCTTCTTGATTGTAGACCATTTGGTTTCTCCCTTTCCAGATCATCCATGCTATAGTAGCAATTTTACCCATGATCTGTAGTGAACTGTTTGTATCGCTAATAGCTTCCAGAACTGATGATACCCACTGTATAGCTGTACCACTTAGTTCCTTCTCAAATCTAAAGCCAAATCACACCTTCTTTGTCCATTCGCAACCAAATAATAGATGTTCAATGGATTCAACCTTGACCTTGCAAATTAAGCACCATGGTGAATCTCCACATTTTTTTTTGAACAAATTTTCTCGTGAAGCCAGAGAATTGTTACAAACTTTTCACCAGAAATGCTTTACTTTCGGAAGGGCCTTCATATGCCATAGCTTCGGATGAGGTGAGAAGGAGGAGCTAGCTTCCATAGTACAATGATAATTGAGACATGTCCCCAGTGAGTACCCTGATTTAACCGTATAGACTCCATTAGGACTTGGTTGCCATATCCTTCTGTCAACCCCAGCTGTCTTTGTAATTGGAATAGTCACAATGGCTTTGCATTCTTCTTCATTAAAAAGTTCCTTCAGAAGCTTTGTGTTCCACATCTTGAATGGCCTTATAATGAGTTGGCTTACATGCTCAAGGTTACATGGGTGGGGTCTAGAGGAGCTAATGACTGCCATAGGTAAAAGTGGTATCCACTTGTCTTCCCAGATTCTAATCTCATTGCCCTCCATTACTTGCCACAACAACCCTTTCTCCAGCAAATCTCTCCCCTTTAAAAGGCTATTCCAGACCCAAGAAGGCCTAACTCCCTTCTTTGACTCCATGAAGTCACACTCCGGGAAATAAATAGACTTAATGAGCTTGGCCCAAAAAGAATTTGGATTTGGTGGATCCTCCACCCTTGTTTTGCGAGGAGGGCTTGATTGAAGGATGAAAAATCCCAAAACCCCATTCCCCCTCTCATCTTAGGCTCAATCATTTTCATCCATTTCTTCCAATTATTTCCCCTCTTCTCCGCTCCATTACCCCACCAGAAATTTCTTACATATCTATCAAGCTTATCATAGAAGTTCTTTGGGAAGAAGAGGACAAACATAGCATAAGTGGGGATTGCTTGAATCACTGCCTTGATCAAAGTTTCCCTTCCCCCCTGTGTAAGCAAGAGCCCTTTCCAGCCCTGCATCTTTTTCAAAACCCTTTCTAATTAGAAACCAAAAATCTCATTCTTTGATCTTCCCCAAAAAGCAGGGAGCCCTAGGTATTTTGGCTCAGGAGCCAAAGGCTGCATGCCCAAGAGATTACTAAGGTGCCCTTTTTGTTCAAGTGTTGTATTGGATGAAAAAGCAATACCTGATTTCTAGTAGTTCATGCATTGTCATGAAGCCAAACTGTAATCCCTAAGGAGTCTTAGCATGTTCCTAATCCCCTGCTCTTTTGCCTTTATAAAGAATAGGGAATCGTCCTCGAATAAAAGGTAAGAAACTGTTGGGCTCCTTCTATGAACTTTGACACCTTGGAAACTATGATCTTCCACTCCTTTTTGAAGCAAATTAGAGAGCACATCTGCCACTAAAATGAAGACATAGGGGGAAGTTGGATTCCCCTGTCGAATACCCCTTTGGGGATGAACCACTCCCCTTCTTTCTCTATTAACCACGATTTGGAAGCTAACTATACAGACACATTGGCAGATGAGGTGCACCCATCTTGGACAAAAGCCTAGTTTAAGCATTGTAGCTTAGAGGAAATCCTATCCAATCCTATCATACGCCTTGTTGATGTCCATTTTGATGGCTAATTCTAGGATCTTTCCTTTCTTCTTCAACTTTAAATGATAGAGGACTTCATTTGTTACAATTACNTCCATTACTTGCCACAACAACCCTTTCTCCAGCAAATCTCTCCCCTTTAAAAGGCTATTCCAGACCCAAGAAGGCCTAACTCCCTTCTTTGACTCCATGAAGTCACACTCCGGGAAATAAATAGACTTAATGAGCTTGGCCCAAAAAGAATTTGGATTTGGTGGATCCTCCACCCTTGTTTTGCGAGGAGGGCTTGATTGAAGGATGAAAAATCCCAAAACCCCATTCCCCCTCTCATCTTAGGCTCAATCATTTTCATCCATTTCTTCCAATTATTTCCCCTCTTCTCCGCTCCATTACCCCACCAGAAATTTCTTACATATCTATCAAGCTTATCATAGAAGTTCTTTGGGAAGAAGAGGACAAACATAGCATAAGTGGGGATTGCTTGAATCACTGCCTTGATCAAAGTTTCCCTTCCCCCCTGTGTAAGCAAGAGCCCTTTCCAGCCCTGCATCTTTTTCAAAACCCTTTCTAATTAGAAACCAAAAATCTCATTCTTTGATCTTCCCCAAAAAGCAGGGAGCCCTAGGTATTTTGGCTCAGGAGCCAAAGGCTGCATGCCCAAGAGATTACTAAGGTGCCCTTTTTGTTCAAGTGTTGTATTGGATGAAAAAGCAATACCTGATTTCTAGTAGTTCATGCATTGTCATGAAGCCAAACTGTAATCCCTAAGGAGTCTTAGCATGTTCCTAATCCCCTGCTCTTTTGCCTTTATAAAGAATAGGGAATCGTCCTCGAATAAAAGGTAAGAAACTGTTGGGCTCCTTCTATGAACTTTGACACCTTGGAAACTATGATCTTCCACTCCTTTTTGAAGCAAATTAGAGAGCACATCTGCCACTAAAATGAAGACATAGGGGGAAGTTGGATTCCCCTGTCGAATACCCCTTTGGGGATGAACCACTCCCCTTCTTTCTCTATTAACCACGATTTGGAAGCTAACTATACAGACACATTGGCAGATGAGGTGCACCCATCTTGGACAAAAGCCTAGTTTAAGCATTGTAGCTTAGAGGAAATCCTATCCAATCCTATCATACGCCTTGTTGATGTCCATTTTGATGGCTAATTCTAGGATCTTTCCTTTCTTCTTCAACTTTAAATGATAGAGGACTTCATTTGTTACAATTACACTATCTTGGATATGCCTTTTGGGGACAAAAGCAACATGTTGGGGGGGGGGGGGAGATAATACAGTGCATCATTTCTTTCATTCTATTAGCCATGACTTTAGAAATGACCTTGTAAAGGAAGTTGCAGAGTGCAATTGGCCTGAACTGTACAATAGATTCCGGATTAGCTTCCTTAGGGATAAGGACAAGATTGGTTTTGTTCAGCTCCCTTAACATAAAGCCCCCCTCGAAAAAACTCCTCACTGTACTGCAAACTTCATTGCCAATTATATGCCAATAGGAAAGAAAGAAAACACTTGGGAAGCCATCAGGGCCAGGTGCTTTGAGGGACCCCAGTTGCTTTGCTGTTGTATAGACTTCCTCATCCTTGATCTCTCTCATTAGTTGTTGGTTTATTTGGTCGGTTACTTTGCATTCCACTACCTCCAATATTCCTTCAAAATTTCTTTGACCTATAGTAGCAACCAGGCTTTGAAAGTAGTCTGCCTCTTCTGTTTTGAGCCTTAAAATTTTTTTTCTTTGCCTCCTTTGAATTGTTGTTTGATGGAAAAACCTTGTGTTTTGATCACCAGACTCTAGCCAATTGATTCGCGATGTCTGCTTCCAAAATTCCTCTTCCCTTGATCTTATAGTATCAATTTCAATAGCAATATCAACCTCCAATATGAGGTTCTCCTCTGTGGCATCCTTCATTTGGACTTCAAGTAGTCTCAGATTAAGCTTAGACAATAGCTTCTTGTTATTCCCAAATTTCTGTTTGCTTCAGCTGGAAAGCTCCTTTCAATAGCATTGTAATGTCTTTGCCATTGCATGCATTGGTGATCCCACCATTTTGTTCTCCCAGCTGCTCTTAATTATCCCTTCACACGTACTATCATCCATCCACATTGTTTCGAACTTGAAATAAAATGATCTCTTTTTGCTATCTAGCTCTAAGTTGATGATGATTGGACAATGGTCCTAGCCCATTCTCGCTTCAGGAATAACCTGCATCTAGGGGAATTTGAAGCTTCATTATGAGTTCACCAAGACCCTGCCAATTCTTTCTTGGACATTCGTCCTTCTAGGCCTATTGTTAGACCAAGTGAACTTTGGTCCTTTGAAATCTGTTTCCAGAATATTGCACTCAAGAATTAAGCCTTGCAACTCCTCC